TGCAGGGAAAACAGAAATTTCTCAAACAGAAGTTGATTCTTGAGGAAAGAAACCTGGTAGGTCTACATTTATTTATATTGAAAGGCCATACCACTCAATCCTACAAAAGGAATGGTTCCATTCCTGTTACGAGGAACACCATAAACTCTTGCAAACTCTTACATTTAAGTAAATGTATTGAGGTAGGCAACTGATTCAAATGCAAGTTGAATGACTGAAGGGTCGATAATTGTAGTTTCAAGGTTCTGATGCATTTCATCCCCTTCTCAGTATTCACATTTCCTTTTCTAAATTGTCAGTGGAGAAAGGGGGGGGGGGTGTACTAATTACTTGCATCTCTCTCCCCTTCCTTATTTCTCTTGCTTGATGTTTGTCTCACAAGGTTTTCTAGTCTCATAGTATGTAAAAAGGTGACAGTGAAGCCTACAGTGTCCATGTGTGTGGCACAAGATTACCCATAAATACTGCCTCCCTAGCTCCAGAGAGGCATCACCTCCTCAGAAACTGCTAATGTGTAAAACACGGTTAGGGAGATCGTCCTTCCCAGAGGTCCTCCCCAAGTTGTCATTTTTCACGTGACAGAAATGTTAAACAGATGGAAAGGAATCATATAATTACTCTGAATTACATTTAAATCGGATTAAACCAAAGCTTAGTTGCTAAGCCTCATGCAAGCATGCCACTAAAAATTCTAGTGTGGCTTTCAGACCAGAAAACCCTCCAGTACAAACTCTAAAATGAAATCATAAGATTATCGTGTAAGTTTTATTGAACATTTTTTGGAACTTTTCTTTCAACAGTGTCTTAACATACAAAATGACAGTCTCGCCGATGTAACATCAAGCCCATTTGCTGTAAATACCACTTCAGAGGCAGCCGATAACTTTACCTTCTACAATTCAATATCGGCCATGGAGAAAGAAGTTGTTAACTGCAGTCAAGACTTCCTGAAACCTTTGGAGGATCCCTATTCCAGCCTGGGGTTGCCAGAAGATTCTAGTCAACGTAGCACTGATTTCTGTGAGGATTTCTATTCCTTTATTGATGTGAAGATGGACACCAGAGCGGCTACTCCGCCATCTCATTTTGTGGATCAGGCAATTGCTGGCTTTTTAAGTGAACCGATTGACCTTTCGGATTTTGCTCAGTGCAAAGCTTTTAACCAAGACCTTGCAGGAAATGCCCCCGAGTATAATGATTCAGATTCTGGTATTTCACTGAATGCAAGTCCCAATACAACCTCCCCAGCTCATTCTGTTGAGTCATCTTCAGTCTGTCAGGATACAGGCTTTGGATGCAGTGATTCAGAAATGGAGGAGATTGATAGCGCCCCTGGAATTGTGTCACCAACCAATGCAAAGATTCATTCTTTTCACCTGCAGGCTCCTGCCTCTCCATCTCTGGAGCAAGGCACCCCAAAGCCTGACTTACCGCTTACTAGTACACCTCAAAGAGAATTGCCTGCCAATCCTGGCCACGTTGAAGCTCCATTTATGAAAGATAAGCCCTTCAACCAAGAAGAAGCTCATCTCACTAGAGATGAACTGAGAGCAAAAGCTCTGCAGATCCCCTTTTCTGTTGAAAAAATCATCAATCTCCCTGTGGATGACTTCAATGAAATGATGTCCAAGCAGCAGTTCAGCGAGGCTCAGCTCACTCTGATTCGTGACATACGCAGGCGAGGCAAGAACAAAGTAGCTGCTCAAAACTGCCGTAAAAGGAAACTGGAAAACATTACTGAATTGGAGCACGATTTGGATTACCTGAAGGAGGAGAAAGAGAAGCTCCTGAAAGAGAAGGTGGACAATGACAAAAGCCTGCAGCTGCTGAAAAAGCAGCTGAGCACCCTGTACCTTGAAGTCTTCAGCATGCTTCGGGATGAAGATGGCAAGCCATACTCCCCAAATGATTATTCGCTGCAGCAAACCAGAGATGGGAGCATTTTCCTTGTGCCTAAGATCAAGAAGCTAGAGACTTAAGTTCTGAAGATCAGGGAGACAAAAAAAATATTTCTATGATTATTTTTACATTGCTATTTTCTATTGATAAGCATCATGTAACCCAACATTGTCCTTTTTCAAGTGACTATGTTTCTTTAGAGTCAAATGTATGAACGCACTAAATCATTAGTGTAAAGCAAAATGTATGCACAATGAATACTTCCACAATACACTAGTAGTTCTTCCTGTTATATAATAGCAGCTTAAGTAGTTTTTGTGCTTGTGTAAATATTTCAAGATGTCTTATTTATATACAATTTCTATAGTTGCTTTATTCAAATAAGTATCAAGCGTGATTTAACTGCTAATCCTACATATTTACAAAATTAATTTTCTGTCTTAAGGTACATCACTTTATAAATACAAATGATTTTTTTAGTTTACAAGTGTATTTACTTTAATATAGCAGCTTGAATGCAGTATAAAGTATAATGCAGCAATAGGACAGAACCCAACCAAAGACAAGCACTTTGAAGAATAGCTTAAGAGTAGGAACATTAAGCATGTGCTTAACATTCTTTCATTAAAATTAATGGAGCTTCAGGAACCTGATCATTGGAAGATTGTTAATGATAAGGAGTTTTTGTACTTTTAAAGTGGTTAATTTTTTTATTTGATAATTTAGTAAATTGTTATGTAAAGTATGATTTTGTTTCAGCCAAAGGTGCACAACTATGTTACTGAATGTGGTTGAAATGGGGGAGTAGGTCACTGGATAGACACAAACAGCTTATGAATCTAAGCTTTTATTATCCCAAATTTTTTTCTAGCTGTTTTCATATATTTGACCTGAAATGTATTAAAAGTCTCTGAAGCCAGATTGGGTAGTTGAACAAGACTTTATTGATGAGTAGGGGATCTTTGGCATCCTAAATTTTAGGTTTTTAAGAAGAGATTGGACAACCTCCTGCTTGAGCATGGGGTTGGACTAGAAGACCGCTAAGGTCCCATTCATTGTTCTGTTAAATAACCTCTTGATCCTATTCATAATTTTGCCGCTTGGGTGCACTAGACAAATAATTGCACCATTAGATTTAAGTCCAGTACCTATACAAAGTTGGACGTTAAATAACTAATGGGACTCAGTTACTCAATTCAATTTTATTCTTTTAAGCATGTTTGCAATTTAGTTTAAGAGTGCCGCTATTTATTCTATATTTCAGAAGAAAACCACGATACTAAGAGGTAGTTTTCAGGAAACTTTTTTTTTAAAAAAAGAAATGATCAGTTGTCTCTTGAGAGGAGCTATGGACAGTACCTTAGTTTGATATATAACATTTATCACCAAGTATCTACATAGAAGTATTGTAAATGATTATGTGCCATTAATTCGTGTCAATTCAGCAACCACATCGATTTCCATGACAATCTGCCCCTGGCCCAGTCTTTCAAGTCTAGTATGCACCCACAGTGACTATGTCTTTCATCCTTGCTGCTGCCCATCCCCTTCCTCCTCCTTTGCAAGCATTTTAATGGCCCTCCTAAATATTAATAGGGATGGGAGCCATTCTGACTTTGAGGGGCAGATTATGGGAGCCAAGCAGTTAATTTCTAAACCCCTCCTTGTACATCCCATTGTGTGGAAACGTGAAACATCCCATTTCAGCTGTTCTGTGCTGACAAGATACTGTTACAGGACCACAAAGGGTTTAAAGCAGGGGTTCTCAACCTTGGCAACTTTAAGACTTGTGGACTTCAACTCCCAGAATTCCTCAAGTCTTAAAGTTGCCAAGGTTGAGAACCCCTGCTTTAAAGGGAATAATCAGCATCTAGGATTGCAGCCAAAACAACTCTTATTCCAAGACTATTTAGAATTGCATCAGGTTAAAAAAAAAAAAAACCTCAAATCCCTTTGCGGGAAAGATTTACTGAAAATAGATTTCACCCCATTGTTTTTCTGTAATGGAATTCAGTCCAGCATAAAGGCGACAGGTATCATAGGTCATCCGACAGGTTTTGTGCTTGAAGGATTTGAACGTGGATTTCATCTCCACTCAATACGGGAGAGACCAGGTTACTCTGATTTTAGCATTGGAAGTGGCATCAAGATGCAAATTGCACCAGTTATTAATTTAGGCTCGAGTGACTTCTACGCTGAACTGGAACAGAACCAGGGCTTTAGAATGAGATCCACAGCATTGAAGAGCTCTTTGTTATACGGCATCTTCTAATCAATTCATTCATGAGCGCTCCTGCTTTTCCACCATTTTTGACTTTTGTTGGCTTCTCTCTTTTCACATCTTAAAACTAGTAACTGCTTTACCTTTCTACCATTAAGAAAAAATAGCATTTTTGTGAAGAGTTTATTGAACAAAATGCCACTCTTTTGTGTGGTAAAAGAAATAGATTTCCTTATTTGAAAGAGCACTGCAATGGTTACAATCCTCATGGGTTTTTAACTGTAGTTTTATGGAAGTCAGTTATGTGGTTCAGGGTCTTCAGCTTTTTATATCTCATATTTAATTCTTTGAAGATTTAGGAAAGAAAAAAAAAAGCCTATCTGGGCTTTGTTCCCCTGCCTAAAAAGCATCTGATTACTGTTTTACAGTGTTTTACAGTGAAATTGCACAAATATGCCATTGTAAAATTACTCGCGCTTCAAAATTAAAGAGAAACATTGAAAAATTGTAATGTGATACAAATCTAAATATGTAGCTTGTATTCTTCATCCTCAGATCATTCATGGTACACTGACATATCGACCCAAATTACTAATCCATAATGTCAGCTAGAAATTATGAAAGTGTGCTTATTCATGTAAGCATGCCCTGAAGTTTTGTTCTAGCAGGATGTGACCTTAAACTCTTAAGACATATCCTTTAGGGTAGAGCCAAACATTTGCACAGAACCTGTTGTTTCATGTGGAACTAAATTGAGCAATGTGAATCCGATATTCCTTTAAGTGGCTTCAAATAGTTCAACTTTGTGTCCCAACAATTCAAAAGAAATCATGCAAGTCAGTTGCTTAATGCAGAAATAAATGATGATCCAGTACTAGAATTCAGATTCATCAACTATCATAATTAACTTTGTTTTATTGTAAGCATTTGATTATTACATAGTTCAATTTTGCTCTCATAGCTATCAGTTGTATGCATGTTCCATTGAAGAATCAAAAATTTCAATTTATGGAAACAGACGATTGTTTCTTCAGGATTAGTCATCCTGCAGAGCAGAAGATAAAAGCAAACAATTTAGCACATTAAGAATGGTAACCTACTGAATATCATAACTTTGCTAAGTTTATTGAGGACTATAAGATCCCTAATGCTGGCACTGTTCTAGCACCATAATGTATATAAAGCCCATCACCAAACGCCCAGTTGGTTAATCTCCGTCTTGTTGGGGAAAATATTTAGCTGAGCGCATACGGGATTCAGGTACTCTTTTACCAATAAAAATCTATCCAAATTTGAGGCACAGAGAAACACATGCACTCACCCCATTTCCATCTTGCTGGGGATTGCTGATTACTGTACCCATTTTAGCCTCAACCCTGTTTTCATAAGACAAAAAGGGAGCATAGGTGCTCTTTGCCATTCATAGTCCTAGGATTAATAGCAAGACACAATCCATAAATATTATCTAATATTCAGTTTCAATTAGCCACAGTTCCTATTTACTTTAACATAACAAGTTGTACATTTGATGCTACTATTATAGATAGGTACAGAAATTGTAAACTACTCATAAATTCATAACTTGCAAGTTAAACTGAGATGCTGACGGCCAGAAAAGGCAGACAATCTGGAACCATAGTCCTATTCTTTTACATGCAGAATAACAGAATAAGGCAAATGAATTTCAGTATTATACAATTAAGATTTATAGAATTTTAAAAATCCTAAAAAAACAACCAACCCAAGAAACTCATTTTAAAGATTTGTTACCTGAAAATTAATTTAGAGGGCACATCAAGTATTCCAGGTGAGAATGTTACTGATTTTCTTGCCTGCAATTTGGCAATTAGAAACATTACCAATAGGAATCCAGCAATGCTAACTTTATATTGGCTACTTTTCTAACTGAAAAATCACACGAGTAATAAAATCAGGATTTTCAGGTTGTGTGAAAGGTTGTGGTTTTTTTATTTGCCTGATGTATGCAATTAGGTATGTTCAACAATCTGTAATGCATCATAACACCTTTCTTATCCAAATCACTGGGAAATTATCCCTCCAAAATAGTGATTCCTGCCAAATTTTGGTAACGGCATTAAGAGGCTATATGCCAGAAGCATGCAAATAGCAAAAAGCAATCAATCACGGTTCTTAGATTTCCCAAAAGTAAAAAAATAATTTGTTCCCTTGCTTTCCATATTCTGCTACAATAACAATGGGAACTTTTTGTTCTAGGAAAGCAGGGAAGTAAAACTTGCTTCAAGGAGTACCCATTTTTCCTGTGCTAAAGTGGTCAAAGGTATGTTGTTTCATCAGGAAAAAAAAAATCTTCTCAAAATATTGAAAATGTTGTTTCAAGCTCATAGTAGTCCTCCCCCCCCATTGTATTCATGCTATTAGATGTTAGACCTAAATGCCAATTAGATGATTTAATATACCCACCCACATTGATTTGAATACAGTAATTATTCAATATATTTCACATTTACCCAGTTTGTTCTTGTCTCCAAAACTCAAAAAAATTTTCAGAGCTCAGGAATCCAATAAAAGAAATGATCGGTGTTGTATATTCTTACCAAGCAAAAGTTTTCCAATAAGATATCCACCTCTGGTCACAGAGGTTTCTTCAAAAATCTGCAAGTCAAACAGATCTTTCTTACCATGTTCAAAGAGGAATTATTTTTTTTAATTCATGGAAAGTGTTAGAGACAAACCTTACCTAGTCTTACTCCCCTTTCAGGTCTAAATGCTAGACCTACGACTGGGCCAACTCAAGTAGCTATGACCTGGGGAGATTCCAATTGGTGAAGGACTCTTCCTAGACTTTCTTCGTTATTGCATCACTGACGGGCAGATTTAACTATTTTGGGGAAGCTGCTCACTATCAGCATAGTATATTTATGCCTTCTCTTGTCTGGAAGTTGAAGCTGTTGCTGCCTTGTCCTTCTTTAATTTGCTGACTTGGGCGCTGAAGTCCTGTCTGAATCTCGTTTGATCCTCATTTCGACTAAGATATCTTTAATGCCGGTTATTCACTGTACACTCCTTTTGTCAGAATTCACAGAGATCTAGGTCTAAGTCACTGATTACCTTACACGTTTCACATTTTCACAAAAGATTAACACACTAGTATGGTTTTGTCTTTATAACATCAAGAGTCATTCCATCTCCATTAAAAACAGATTGAAAGTCTTAACCAATTACTCGTTATGCTGCTGAATTCAGTCTCAGAAAGGATGAGTTATATCTGATCTACCTTTACAGAAAATGCACGTTGTGTACTAATGTAGGTCCCCCCAGAGTCACTCTACTGGGGAGATGGGTGGCATATAAATTTAAAAAATAAGGCAAGTACATGAGAACGCTATAGTAACAGCTGAATCCCTTTCAACAAGCTTTGACTATTGGAATGCACTTTCTTGGAGATAAGACACATCAAGAAACGAATACTTCATTCCCACCTTTACTCGTATGAAACTGTAGATCTTTGGGACACTGATACTCTTGGAGTTGGGTTCACATATCCCAATAGCACTTAGACTTATATATCACCCCATGGTACTTTATAATAGAAATCCCCACCCCCCGGGCCGCAGCCCACTACCGGGCTGTGGCCTGTTTGAAACTGGGCTGCAGGAGATATGGGCAAGTGTCCGTATGTAAAGCTCCACTCATGTGAGTGGCAGGCAAGGGTGTGTTTGAGCACGAAGCTCCACTCGCGCGAATGAAGGACATTTGCTGTTGTGCGCGAAGTTCCACTAGCCACAAAGCTCAATTCGTGTGAATGGAGCTTTGCAAGAGAGCAGGCTCTCGTCCGAGTGGAGCTTCGAGCGCAAGCACCCTCCGCTCATGCACAAAGCTCCATTCATGTGAATGGAGGATGTGTGCACCCTCTGCTCACACAAATGGGAGCTGTACACGCGCTTGTGTCTGCCATTCACAAGCCCCCCCCCCCTCCCAGGCCGGGTCACCAAGTCTGAAAGGTTGGAGATTGTTGCTTTAGACCACTCTGAGCTGTTCACAAATGTCAGCATATTGTCCCCAACAATCTGGGTCCTCATTTTACCGACCTTGGAAGGAAGGAAGGAAGGAAAGGTAGGAAAGGAAGACTAAGTCAACCTTGAGCTGGTTAGGATCAAACTGCTGGCATTTGGCAGAGCTAGACTGCAATACTGCATTCCAACCATCGCACCACTACGTCTCCTTATATATAGTTTTAAAGTAAATTTTAACCATAGCATTCTATACCCAATGATGACTTCATGTCTGATTCTTGAGCAATTTGTTCAGCAATCAATTCCTACACTGGAATTAAGTTTATCTTAAACTCATTGACCTACAGAAGTAAGAGGTGAAAAATGTCTGAATTTCTTCTACTCACTGTGCCCTACTCTTCTGGATGTGTACTGACAGAAAGGACTGCTCTGGCAATAGTTCAAAAAGAAGTCTGATCAGATTAAGAAGGATAGCAGATTATTAGGGAACATGGCTGTAAATAAATCTAGGTAAGTGAAGGAGTAAACAACTCAGTCATGATTGTGACTTTAATAATTTTTATCAAATCATTCCAATGCACAGTATTTGTTTAATTGTAGCTATAGGACCCTCATTAGCAACAACAGGTTCTACCAAATTAGCTCCTATTTCTTTCCTTTTACCTTCAAGACCCATTATCAGGGCATTAGAAAGTGTGTGAAACATTTTGATGCATTCATGCTCAGAAGAGTTATACTTATTCCAACGAACTCAGATTGTTTCTGTGTTGCAAATTAGCATCAGATAGAAAGGGGCATACAGAATTAGACACAGTAGAACTTAGGCACCTTTATAGATGAATCTATATTTTGGGGGCAGATATATATATACATATGAAACTGTAGAACTGTAAGCTAAGTAACAGACCCACGCTATTAGATTCAAAGTTTTAATTCAATTATGTGTGCATTTAATCTGTTTGCAATTTGAGGGAAACTGAGTCTCAATAATTATAAAAGGCAGAAACCTGTTCGGCCAATGTTTCTTGTAGCTCCTTTATATATTAGCAAAGTGGGAGGCAAACTGAATAAATTTTAAAAGATCTCTTCAATGCTTATTTACTTAGAAGGTTTAAACTAAAAACAAATGCTACAAATTATGATATGCACAGCCCAGAAATATCTGGAATTCTCATTTGAAAGTAAAGCTTTTATCATTCACAAGCATTGGTTTAAATGACTCAGTCCTAATTATGCAGCTATACAAGCTTTAATGCAAACATCTTTCCTCTCCCTATGCATGTGCAACTCGTGTCATTTGGTTACATATGCAGAAAAAACTTAAGGTATTTAAAACGGTTCAGCATTTCTATTGGTTTAAATTAATACAGATTATAATGCACTGATTTTTTTTTTCCCTAGCAAGAATATACCCTAAAACTACATTTCTTTGTTTAAAGAGGTTTTGGTAAGAAAAAACTGAACTACACAAGTATTGAAAAAAATTAAAAGTTCCTTAATTATTTTTAATTCCTGGTACCACTACCACAAATTTACAGGGCAATATACCTGATTTTATGAAGAAAAGACAAAGCTACAACAACAAATTAAAAAAAGTCAGGAATGTACATCTAAACACTACATTGCATTAAATCAATAGCTGCACTCTTTGCAAACTGTGGCTATTAACAGTCCTTAAGAAGGGTTTCCTGTTTAAGCTGCAGTAACTTTTCTGACTATGGTTCATCGCTCCTTCTGTGGCAGATTTTACAGTTCCTCTAATTCATTTGGGACGACTGTCTCAAAGTAACCTGCAGCTTTCCTGACAACTCCTCGCTTTCTCCTGCTAAGAACTGTAGCCTGTTGAATACAGGATAAAAAAAAAAAGATTACTCTCAAAGAAATGTTATAAGCTTAATTAAAAACACTTATTTGTAGCATACATACCATTATCCACTAGTTTTTAGAATCTTCGTCCACCATAGCCGCCACTTCCTCCACTTGACCCATAGCCACCTACAAATGGAGTATATACAGGGGTGTCAAACTCAATTTCATTGAGGGCCACATCAGCATTGTAGTTGCCCTGGGGGGGAGGTGGGTGTGGTCAGGGTGGGTGTGGCCTACTGGGTGGGCGTGGTCAGCTCTACATCGTTTGCGTCAAGGGTGCCTGTGGGGGCCTGGGCAGGAGTGGGACAGATCTGAGAGTCTCTGAAAGAAGGGGGTGGGACTGGGGCAAGCGCCAAGGCATGGTCCATTTCTTCATTCCTCACAAAGGGTGACACTTCCCCAGCATGCACCCAGGGGGTGGGGCTGACATGGCAGGGGCTGGTTCCTCGCTGTTTCCAGACGGCCTTGTGGAACTAAGACTGAATGCATTTCAGCATAGATGGCCACCACAAAATTGTACAATGGCTCCCAGCTGGTCTGGGCCAGGGCCAAGGCAGTGGGGGCCGTTCCCTCACTATTTCCAGGATGGCTTCGCGGGCCACGTGAAACCACTTTGCGGGCCGCATCCGGCCCCCGGGCCTTGTGTTTGACATGTCTGGAGTACAATAACTGTTTATATTCAAGCTTTTGTTGAAAGATGCTAGCTAGCTGCATATATTTTAACATTGCATTTACCACCATAGGGACTGCCTGAACTTCTGCCACTGAAACTGCCACTTCCTTTCATGGGCCCATAACTTGAAGTCTGCTGTCCACTGTAGTTGCCAAAATCACTGTAGCTTCCACTGCCACCATAGTTGCCTAAAATACAAATTTAATTTTACGTTCATCAAGTCTGATATATAATTTGAAATTACAAATTAGATTAAATAAATGAAGCACTATTGCATACAATTTAATATGCAACATATGCATTTTAGGGATTTACTGAAGGCAAATCTATGAAATTTCAATGTGTAATGTGAGTTGTATATCATAGAAACATATGCAGTTTTTAGCTACAAAAATAGAAGTCACGAAGTCATTGTTTCTTTTCTTTTCCCCACTAGTAAGAAACAAACATTTGGTTCCAGCTAGTAACTTTGGTACGATAACCTGTGAGAAACTAGCCTTAGGAACACTGGGAGGAAAAAAAGTCATGGGTGTCTTTCTGCTTCACTTTAAGTATACCAAAGTATGTTTTTTCAATAAGGAAAAAAGCAATCTGTAAGCAAGTGACATACCAGCCTCTCCATAAACCAACTGGCAGATAGCTGGCTTTCTGATGACTTGATATACCGTAGAAACTCCCAAATTTTCTCAGTTCAAAGTGTCCCTAAGTGTCCCATAATTTTTTCATGATGTCCCGTAGTTCCCAAACTGTGCCCTGTAGCGAACTTGTAAGGGATATTTTAGACTTTTGAGAGAAACACAAAAAATACTCAACACGTTTCTAACTAATCACATCATGGTCAATTCTGTCAGAATTCTAAAACAGGGCTTTTCAACCTTTTCACCCATTGTACCATTTTTAGGATATGGCAACCTCCAAGTACCACCAGTCGCCTAGCAAGGTGTCAAAAACTTGATGATAAAAAAAAAGAAGTGATAAAGTACAGATAGTCCTCGACTTACAACAGTTCGCTTAGTGACTGTTCGAAGTTACAATGGCACTGAAAAAAGTGCCCCCCAAGGCACTTGCCTGCCCACCCGGCGGTGCTCTTTTTCCTGTCCGAGGTTTTCATTGTTGTGAGCATTTTTGTTGAGGATTGGCAGCGGAGGTAGGGTGTGTGTGTGGGAGGGTGCTTGGTTTTTATCCCCCGTCTGCTGGGTGGTTGCAGCAGGTTTTGGTCACTTCACATGACCCTGGGACACTGAGACCGTCCAGCTGATCGACGCATCTTCTGCGCTCAGCAAAAGCGCCATGATCAGCGCCGAGCTCCAGCTGGAGCCTGGCGCTGATCCTGGGGCTTCCAGTGAGCCCTGACAGCCCCGAAGAAGCACTGATCCTGGCGCTTCTGCTGAGCCCTGACAGCCCTGCAGCTCCAGCCATCTCTTGCTCAGGCTTATGCGGTGCTGACACCGGTTCAGCTCATTCCCCCCCCCCCGCTACTTTTCTAGGATGGTCGTGTACCACCTGCCAGGTGCCAATGTACCACAGGTGGTACCCGTACCCACTGGTTGAAAAGCCCTGTTCTAAAACATCCAGAAGTTATGCGTCTATGGATCTCTCAGCCTATTGAATTATCTAAAAGACTAGTTTCACTTCCAATAATATCACTGTGAACTGGGAAAGTTCTCTTGGTTCACTAATATATGACAATGGATGCTAACGTTCTTTGTTGGGAAGGGTTTTCGTTAACTATACAGTCATCTTTCTTCTAGCTAAAGGAAATTCAAACTATCTCCAAGTTTTAGTTCTCATTCTGATGGATATATTTGACAATCTCATTTGTCTATCATTTTTTAAACCAATAAACTCAGTTTGCTCTTTCGAGAAGTATACGCCAAACTATCAACCCAAATATTTAATGTATGGTGCATTGGTTAGAATGCAGTACTACAGGCAAATTCTGTTCACAGACTGAAGTTCAAGCCTGAAGGGGTTCAAAGTTGACTCAACCTTCTATCCTTCTGAGGTTGGTAAAATGAGAATTGTTTGTTGGAAGCAATATGCTGACACTGTAAACCGCCCAGAGAGTGCTCTAGAGCACTATGAGGTGGTATAGAAGTTTAAGTGCTATTGTTATATAAATAGTACTGGGGAAAATTTCACAAAGAATGTGACATTTACCTAGTGTTAATCCTACATGTAGACCAGACTAAGAAACCAATGCCATGAAAGTCAGTACTACTTTTATTATAAAGCTATAGCAAGAAAATTTTGCATGTCTAAATGTACTGCTTCCTCCTCCCTCACTTTATCTGAGCTAGGGAGGGGCTTCTGTGAGATATTTTTTGGCCCTGGTGCTTATCTGACTACTGCTTAATAGTGGGTCTTCCTTCTGTCCTTTAAGGCCAATCTCTATGCCCTTTATATCTCCCTTAAAAATAAATAAATTACAAAATGCTACAGAAAAATGAACAGAACAGACTACTTATAAAACAGATACAGGTTAAAAAAATCAATGCCATATCCCTAGCAGCTAGCACTGGAACTCTTGAAAGTTAAGCTACCAACCTAACATAGATGATATTAAGCATTGAAATATGCCCCTGAGTCCTTCAAAAAATTTTCAAATGTGATTTCACAACACTGGAAGTGTACTTTGAGAGTAAGTTTACATTGCACGACACTTTTCTTAATGAAACCTACATGTTTTAAACCAACAAGTAAAAAAATAGTTTTACTGAACTTTTTAATGATCAGGACAATATTTTATTTATTAATTTGTATTTATAATTCTAATGCAATTTAGGCTTCTCACCTCCAAAGCTTCCTCCTTCACTATAACCATCATAGCCTCCACTTCCTCCGCCATATCCACCACCTGGATTTCCATAGCTTGGGCTACCAGCATAACCACCTCGGCCACCATATCCAGGGCTACCACCATAGTTTCCACCTTGAATTAAATGTAACAAACATCTGTTATCAATAATAAGGTAGTGGAACTTGGGAAATAAACTCAATCAACTTTCTGCAATGCCTCTTTATTTCAGATGTTTTGGCTTGTAGAATGCATTGTTCCTGATTATTAACCACATATCCCTTTGGCTGATCAGAACTGTTTTTCAAAACAAATGAAATACCTAGTTTGAAGAACAGAAGCAATATTCCATAGGAAGACATTAGGTCATATTTTAGCACATGCTTTGAAAGCAATGACACTGTGCTCCACTGAAATTAATGGGTTAAGCTACTAATGACTGACTTAAAGCATCTAATTATTCCGTATAGATTTTCTGTATACCTTAACATTTCCTATGTCAAGATATTCCCTAAGTCACTAAAAACTATGTCCTATTATGATACTTTTGTTTTCTTTAACGATAAATATAACTTCTTACCCCTTTTCATACCAGGACAGGAGTGGTTGCAATGGGGAATTATAAAGAAAAAATGTTATCCCTTAAAAACCTTTCCCAATATGGTCCTTGCTAGGTCCACTTCTGGACTGAAATCATTTTGACACCAGTGTAACTAGGTATGGCTGTCAAGCTATTGAAAGTTATACATCTCAGGTATTATGCAAGTGGTATTTGCACTCCCATGCTTACCATCACCAAAACCATTATATCCATCGCCACTGCCAAAGCTTCCTCTACTGCTGCCAGTGCCCCCACTACTGTAGCTTCCTAAAGCAGAACAAAAATATTATGTTATGAACAAATTAACAACAAATAGTGTAAAATGGTATCTTGGAAGGACACTGGGAAGAACTAACATGTACCTCTACTACCAAAACTTCCACCTCTGTTGTAACTTCCACCACTGCCGCCAAAATTCCCACGACCCATGAAGTTGCTTGAACTACTCCCACGACCTTAAATAAAAACAACACAGTAAATGTCTAATAGTGTTTGTAGATAGCATAATTGCTGTATTTTGGACTCCCACTGAGTAAGACTCACTTCGTTGTGCGGTTGCAGTCTGCATTTCTTGCTTGGAGAGAGCTTTCTTCACTTCACAGTTATGTCCATTTATAGTGTGGTATTTCTGAACTAAAATAAATTTTGAAATAAATAATACTATGAAAATATGCATTCGGCTCAGTAATGATTTATGCAAAATATTGTAAAATGTACCAAAACAGTCAAAACAAACAGGAACATAAAATAAAGAACCTATAATGACTCTCCTACCCATATGTAATTAAAAGTATGAAACCTCTTCATTTTCAAGGTCATCCACAACCACTTGCAAAGTAATTTATCCAGACTTTTATCTCTAACTTTAAACTGAGTCAAAATTCTTTTGATCTCTATTCTGGCTTGGTTTGCTTTTCAACCCTGAGTAGAAAAAAGCAGTATTCTGGTTTCCAATCAGCTTGCCTCCTCCTCTTTTTCTTCCTAGAATATGTGGACCCAGAGAATTTTAAAGAAAAGTAAAAGAGCTCTTAAGAGTCAAATGATTGAAGTAGCAAGCAAGCAAAACATGACAATGAGGAACCAGAGGCTGGTGCTTTCCAATCAGCCCAACTCAGTTGAATGAGTATAGAGTACAAATAAAATTCTGCTGGCACAAGTAGGAAGCTATTAGATTGGGAAATCTTGTTGCAACAGAGCTTAAGAGTTCTTGGATTTAGGGAATATCTGGTTTGTCAAACAATTTTTCCTTCAGTTTCTTTTGTGCTTTCCTCAGTAATGACCCAATTATATTAAAGCAGGGGTCTTCAAACTTGGCCCTTTTATGACTTCTGGACTTCAACTCCCAGAATTCCTCAGCCAAGTCCACAAGTCATAAAAGGGCCAAGTTTGAAGACCCCCGTATTAAATTATAGTGAAGAGGTTATGATCCTTCTGGTCCATCAATATTTATTTATTTATTGTTACTTTTAAACTTTACCCTTTTATCTCCTTCCTTTTTTCTTTCATTTTAGTTTGTATTTTATTGTTATTTAATATAATAAAGATATTTAAAAAATTGAAACTGTAATTAGAACTTTGACTTGAATCCAACCTGCCTTTATGTAATTAACAATCACTTGAGCTGGAATCTCTCAAATTCATTTCCCTGCTTATTTCCCCTGCTGTAAGTACAGCATATCTTTCCTTTGGAATGAGGGTTTTTGTTTTTTGAAATTTTGACATTCTGCTAAAGTTTGGGAAATTCATCCAGCTACTAAAGTGGCTAGTGGATTTCTGTGCACCAATAACAGCAAACAAGCGAACTGAGAATGCTGTACTTTATGAGAAACATTGACTATCATACTGCCTCCCAGGCAGGCATTTAAGCATAGTGGAAAAATTCATGAAAGTTCTAGGTAATGGAAATGATGGAGTCAAACACTTGCTTGTGAATAAACAACTATTAGATATTTGAAATTGTAGCAACTAAATTAAAAACACAAGAGAAAAAAGTAAAGAATTGAATTTGGGGCTACAAAGTAAAATCTTTTAAAACAGTGAACTATGTTTATACTATTCCTACGATGACAGTTCTAAATCAATATTTATTGAACAGAAGTTACCACGAAGACAAAACACTACATACCAACAATTTTGTCTACTGTATCATGATCATCAAATGTCACAAAGGCAAAACCTCTTTTCTTTCCACTCTGCCTGTCTTCCATTACTTCAATGGTTTCAATTTTGCCATATTTTTCAAAATAATCTCTTAAATTATATTCTTCTGTGTCTTCTTTAATTCCACCAACAAATATTTTCTTCACTGTTAAATGAGCACCAGGTTTCACAGAATCCTATGAAATTTTAAGTTAAATTTAGTGTTTCAAACTTTTAAATTAGTTCAATATTTGAAAAACACATTTATAAGTAAACAAGCATTTGTATAATCAAGATGTAACATTTTTAACAATTACTTACTTCTCTAGAAACAGCTCTTTTTGGCTCTACCACACGACCGTCAACTTTATGTGGTCGAGCTGACATTGCAGCATCTACTTCTTCCACACAAGAATAGGTCACAAAACCAAAGCCCCGAGAGCGTTTTGTCTGTGGGTCTCTCATCACCTTCAAGAAATATATAATACAGGGAATGCTGGTTGAAACATTTTTTGTTTAAATCTAATGCTCTAATCCTATTGACTAGAGTAGAAGTTTTTCCCAAATGCAGACATACAAATGTTAGAATTTCTCACCACACAATCTGTGAGTGCGCCCCATTTTTCGAAGTGCTCTCTTAGGCTATCATCTGTTGTTTCAAAGCTCAAGCCACCAATAAACAGCTTTCTCAATTGTTCTGGTTCTTTAGGATCATGACCCTGAAAGAAGAAAAGTTTCAATATCTGCACTAGATTCATACTGCTACTCAGAAATTCACTTAAATCTGTTTCTCCGTACAGTTTGCAATTATTAAATAACTTATTGCTTCTATAGCTATATGCTTTTAGTATGATACAAACGTACTTACGCAATTTCTTTCTAACATGTGGTCATGCAGCTATAATCTGAGGCTACAATTCTATTCATAACTGCTCTACGTTTTGTCCAACTGAAATCTATGACTTATGAAAAGTAGAAAAGGAATCACAAGTACAGTAAAACTGCCAATATCCCCGTTTATAAAAAACTGTATTTCCATACAAAGGGCTATTGATGTTAGAATTTCATTACATTCTATTGAGATATGATTAAAGGACCATACTTAGAAAATTGTATTGATCTTTTAAAACAAATTAGCATGATTCCAGTCCCCCCCCCAAAAGTTCGTACTATTTTGTTCAAACATTCTAACAAAGTTAAAAGCTATTAGATTCTAGTCATACTAGTCCAGGGATCTCAAATTTGTGGCCTGTGGAAGGCCCATGATGGCTCACACATCAGCTGCTGTTTCAGCTTTTATTCCTGTATGTATGCATTGTCCCAGATTTTTGAGTCCTAGGCATCCTTCCCCTCCCCCACATCTTGTCTTTTGCAAAGCTAGCTTGTCCCGCACAGTGCGAGCATCGAGTCTCCCTCACAGCATCAAGTAGCTGGTGCCATCGCAAAGAAACCAATGTTGAACAAAGTGGTATTGTGGGGAAAAGCAAAGATGGCTTTGCATAAGCCATGCTATGGAGGAGGTGGTATCTGCCTAGAAATTATGCAAGAGGAAAAAGTGGGAAAAGAATGCCAGCCATGCCTTCACTTCTCCCGCAGCACCCACTTGTGCGCTTTCTGCTTCTGAGCCATCTTCCCAAGTCACTTAGTATCTACCTGCTGATGACATGAAGAACCAAAGCTGGAATAGCCAGACAGGCTGATAGGACAGAAAGCAAGATGAAAGGGAAACACAGGAAAAATATTTCCAAAGAAAATTACATAATTGCTATATGACAACCAATGTGCAAAGTGAAATATTTGTGTTCCACATGCTTTGCTTGGTTTAGAATCGAGTGATTGATGCCAGCTTTGGACTGAAAAAAACAACTTAGATCAGAAATGGAGAACCTATGACATGCATATCAAAGGTAACATGTCAGATTGTTTTGGGTGACAAACTAGTATTCACCAACAATTCTCGAAAGCATAACCTATTCTCACATGATTTTCAGAGACTATAGAGGACATGCCTCCAGAGCAGTGGTTCTCAACCTTCCTAATGCCACGATCCCCAACCATGTGGTCGTAAGTCGAGGACTACCTGTATTTCCCTGCGGGCGGGGCAGGAGGTGTGCACGCTCCGCCTCCTCTCCTGCGGCTGGAGCGCACGCTGGGCAGGCCGAGGGTGCATGCAGGCCATCGCCCAGCAACCGCCTTGGCCCGGGAGCACCGCGCATGCATGGTGCTGCCCCCTGCACCGGCCAAGGCGTAGGCTGACCACCGGCTGGGCCACCAGCTGGCCCAGCCCAAGGGAGGTAAGCCATCCGCCAGGCCCCATGCGCGCCAGCAACCCTCCCTGCGCCCGCCAGCCTCCCACCCCTTTTTTACTTACATTTAGTAGTTGCTCAGCAGGGAGGGGTGGAAACGTCCAGAAAGCTTGCCTTAGCTGCAGACAACTTGCAGCACCGTTTGCAGACTGGGACTTTTGGCTGGCTCAGCAGGGCAGAGACAGCCTCGACAATCCCTATTGGCTTTTGAAAGCCAATAGAATTAGACTCTATTCAAGAGAGTCTATTCTATTGGCTTTCGAAAGCCAATAGATTCTATTGGCTTTCGAACGCCAATAGAGTCTCTTGTATAGAGTCTATTCTATTGGCTTTCAAAAGCCAATAGAATAAGAGGGAGTAGCACAGCTAAGGAAAAGGGAAAAAAATGGCGGACTGCGTTGTTTGGTGACCCCCGTGAAATAGTCGTTCGACCCCAAATGGGGTCACGACCCACAGGTTGAGAACCGCTGTTCCAGAGCCTCTGAAAATCATGCAAAAAACAGAGCATGCTTTCACACGGTTTTTGGAGGCAGTGGAAGAGCATTCTATGAAGATGCTTCACAAATGAAGGTGTTATGCAACCCGGAGCAGCCTTGGATAGGCCACAAGGGCCTGTCAACAGAAAAAGAGCACCGCCTGAAAGTAAATGATGCATGGCAATTTCTGGACAGTGCTGGGCTATGGGGCAATCACACAATTCTTCAAGGCTTGTGCTTCTTAGGGAATGGGGCAAGGCAGGTTTTTTTGAGTGGCAGCAGAGTACAAGGACTGAAGATGAGACCTGGGCATCTACTTCAGGTCTAGTCTCGGTACTGCGAGTGCTGTTGTTAATGGCAGCCTAGATAACAGAGAGATACAGAATTGTTTCTTTTGCTCGTGGTGGAGACCATGTCAGCATAGTCAAATTATACATCTTCTAAATTTTTGATATGCCAAGCCCAAAAGGTTCACCATCACTGACTTAGACCTTCCATATTAGTTAAGATGGAGGGATAGATGGCAACCAGCCAACCAGAGGGAATTTTTTTAAAAAATATATCCCAGCCTATAGAAACTACACATCCTTTTATTTGATGGCAACCCGCTGCCAAAAAGAATGGGGACCACACTTCTTTAAACACTAGGTTGAGTGTTTAAAGAATCTGGCTCTTCTTTTCTAGATATCACTAGAAAGCAGTAAAGAGAAATTATTCTCTCTCTATGTGCTGTTCAATAGTTTCCTAGTCCAGTCTCTCAATTTGAAAATCTTTTTTCCTCTATCCCAGGGGTCCCCAACACCTGGTTTGTGGACCGGTACCAGGCCGTGGCATGCCAGCAACTGGTCCGCACGAACAAGCAAAGCCCCATCTGTGGGATGCAAGCAGTATATAAAACCATGCACTCTCCGGTCCATGGAAAAACCTCTCTCCACGGAACCGGTCCCTGGTGCCTCAAAGGTTGGGGGACTTCTGCTCTATCCAGAACTTCCAGATCTGCTCCAAATTCTAGACTAATAGAATTCAGAGCAGGTGAACAATTATGGATCCTTCTCTCTGAAAAAAGTCTCGTGGGCAGAATGAAACAACAGACCTTCAAGAGAATGTGTGCAGAGTTCAATACATTTTCTTTCCAAACGTATCACTAGTTACAAATTGATAAATCCAGGAAATGGAGTGATTAAAATATTTTTCATATTAACATTGTCACTTCCCTGTTTAGCAACTCTTCTTCTGAAACAATTCACCAAAAGGAACATAAATTTGGTATCGTTAAGTTTAATTTGCATTCATTAGAAATTTTACAATTTCTTTGAATTAATCAGATTAATTGGTGATTCTCAGAACAGATCACAAGTTTTTTCCTGCTTCAGTAACAACACATTTTAAAAGACTGAAGTCATTACCTCAAATTCCAAGATTGCAAAGGAAGGAGAAAGTTATTTAACTGTCAGTCATTTTGTCAGTGAATCAAATAGGGAGTGTCTAATAAAGGCACACATAATAGGAAAAAAACCCCTGCATTTGAGTTGTAAAACCATTTGATTTTATCGCAACAGCTGACTTCAAGGGAGTTTTAATTAGTATCTGAATAATGGAAACTAAACATCGAATTGTGATTAGCCTTAATAACCTAACTAAAACGTTTATTCTGATCTCCTATGATGTTTTCAATTTAATCAATGGCCATACTGACAAAACAGCTAGCCTACATTTCCCCTTTGGATAGTTGCATTTATAATGAGTGGAACACTTGTATACTTTAATCTTTCCTTGACACAAGAATAAGAACATATCACCTGTTGTATAGCAGTAAAAAGTCTCCATAACTCTTAATTCTAAAGCCTTTCCTTACCAAATTGCTAGCCCAACAATCTCTTTCTTAGAGATGGAAAAGGCCATGGACCATTAGGTCTTTTTTTGCCGTCAGTTTTCTATGTTTCTATAATCTCTATTCAATTCAACACTACAGGGGAAATAAAGGCTCCACTAAATAAACTAAAAGTCTGGACTGTTACAATTTTTTCAAGAACTACCACTGTATCTGTTCTAATTCTCCCTAATCCCTTAAGATACATTTATGCAGGTTATACAAGTCATCTGTCTATGGATAGTAGCAACTCCTTGCAGTTCCTTAAAACCATGTTATAAGTTAGAAATCATAATGAATATAAGAAGGAATCTTCAATTATAGGAGTTTAAAGTTCCATTATTTAAAGCATATATTGATTACTTCTAATATTTTGAATGTTATTTGCTTAAACACTGTTAATAATTACAATTTCTATAGTTAATTTTCAACAGATTAACACTGTTCTCAAAAACAGCTTAATTGCTGAACACACGTAAATATTGCATAACCCAAAGATTCAGCTATTTATTCAAGTGAAGTTAATCAATCAATTCATAGCTGCATTTGACCTAGTTTTGAATGATGCAAAAAAAAAAAAAAAAAAAAAAAGCCTCTGGGTCTAGATTCAGTTTACCATAGGAAACAATATTCTTTTTAAAAGAATGTAAAATTTTAATTCTCAGTGTTCTAGTTTTCATGGAACAATACTGATGCAACAGCAGCAATACATGTAGTCCTTGATATACGACCACAACTGAGCCCAAAATTTGTTGCTAAATGAAACATTTGTTAAGTGAGTTTTCCCCATTTTACGACCTTTCTTGCCACATTAAGTGAATTATTGCAGTTGTTAAGTGAGTAACAGGGTTGTTAAGTGAATCTGGCTTCTCCATTGACTTTGCTTGTCAGAAGGTTGTAAAAGGCGACCACATGACCCCAGAATACTGCAACCGTCATAAATGAGTCCATTTGCCAAGCATCTGAATTTTGATCACATGACCATGGGGATGCTGCAACAACCGTTAAGTGTGAAAATGGCCATAAGTCACTTTTTTCAGTGCCACTGTAACTTTGCACTGTTGTAAGTCGAGAACTACCTGTAGTTATCTCCTCAAAGCAACTTGGATTTTAGTCAACTAGACATGCCCATCCAAGCAGACAGAACCACCAGTAATTGCCTGTTTCTGGACTTTAATGATTTAACTACAATTTTAAGATTTATTTAGATATTAGTTTTCAAATTATTTCCTTTACAGTAATATATTAATTTATAGAATTTTGCATATAATACTGCACTTACTGTAAACATTTATATTTGGAAAAGAAAAAGGAAAGAATAATGTATTTTCAAAAGTGAAGCAGAACAGAGTATAGTGCAATGTGAAATCTGAGCCACATAAAGACTGATCAAAGCAGCAGCAAGCGAAAACTGACTCCAGTTAACTCAAGTAAAAAAGCTAAAAGCATAAAAACATTCCACCTGTGAGGATCTTCTTCCCCTTCTCTTGTAATCTTCAGCCTCTCTCTCCTCTTTACACGCCATTTTGGGAGTGTGTTCTGACTCAGTTGCTCCTTTTAACCTAGGTAACAAGTAGTAGGAGTTCCTGTGAGTTTTCTCCTTACTCTCATACAAAATAAAGGGGCCGTAATTTTCAATGGACAACATATTGGAGCCGCTTTAGCTTAAATAATGTTACTGTATGAGAGAATAAGTAAAAAAGAATGGGCTTTTATTATCAACTGATGAAATATATTTTTAAAATAAAAATACAAGGAGTATCTATTGAAAAAACAAGCATGTTCATCATCATATGCTATAGGGATAGCAAAATGAACTGCTAGCCAATTAAAACTGTATTAAACTGTATTCAAAACTATGCAATAAGAATAGATTAAAATTGTTTCTAAATAGATAACTATATTTATTTGCATTCATCATAAGAAGAAGCAAATCCCACCAGGGGAGAGAGAATCAAGAGCATCTCCGTTTTACTCAGTTTATAAACACCCTATTCCCTGGATATTACTCGTGACTGTGCTATTCTAGATCTGGGAGGGGTTACTAATTCAGTACTTAAGGCTTTTGCTATAGCAATGCTTTGAAAGCTATCTTGTGCAATTGGAAAAGAAGCTTTTCACTATTTTCCTTAAGAACATCTTAAGTCAAACTTGCACACGTAATTACTCAATAACTTGTTCACACATGTATTAATTAAAATGCACCATTTAAATGCAGTTGTAACTGGACACTAGTATTTCACTGGCCAAAATTATTAAGTGGTTAACAAATTATTTAGCATGTTTTTTATTTAAAAACAGCATTTCCACTGCACCACGTTATTAGGTACTGCCTTCAGGGGAGTGAACCTAACTGTTGGATAAGAATATCTCAAAAAGCCTTCATTCTATGTGAAGTGATGGAGATAGCAATAGCACTTAGACCAGTGATTCTTAACCTTTCTAATGCCGTGACCCCATAATACAGTTCCCCATGTTGTGGTGACCCCCAAGTGGGTGTGGCCACCAATAAGAGGGAGTAGGACAGCTAGGGAAAAGGGAAAAAAATGGCGGATAGCATGGTTTGGTGACCCCCCGTGAAATGGTCATTCGACCCCAAATGGGGTCCTGACCCACAGGTTGAGAACCACTGACTTAGACTTATATACAGCTTCATAGTGCTTTACAGCCCTCTTTAAGTGGTTTACAGAGGCAGCACATTACCCCCAACAATCTGGGTTCTCATTTTACTGACCTCGGAAGGATGGAAGGCTGAGTCAACCTTGAGCTGGTGAGACTTAAACCACTGGCAGTGGGCAGTCAGCAGAATTAGCCTGAAATACCACATTCTAACACTGCCACCATAGAGATAAGGTCAGGTTGGCAAGTCCTCTTTGTTAGTCTCTATTCTTTGGAACTCCTTGCCTTCAGAGGTTTGAGCATCTTTTCTGGTATTTCGTAGAGCTGTCCTACCCCCATATCATTCTTTTAACCAGGTCTGAATGTTTCTGGTTCATCAGAGATATTTCTATTATCTTTTTTAAAAAAATGTTGCATTGGGAAGGGTTATAAAAACTGTACAAAAAACATATTACCCAAAGACTACAGATTTGAGTGAGCTGAATCTAAAATTGATAAAATTGCGTTCAGCTAAAATAATTGCTTGCAATAGTCCTGAAGTAATTGAATTACAAGTAGAATTGAGGCTGGTATAGATTATCACACAAAGACAACCTTTCCAATTAAAAGTATTCTTGGGTTTCAACATACTTTTGCATACTTTCTCTGAACTCTTTTCTTGCTAAGATTCTGATATGCATACAAAACTTTTCTTGAAATAAAAAGATTAAAATGGGATATAACTTGGACAGTTCTTTGAATCCATTTTGCCTTCACATTATATCTGCCCATTTAAAAATGTGTAGATAAAAATTGAAAACTGTGGGCTTTTCTACTAATGCATATAGGAAACTCTACCTTCTACAAGGCCAGAAAAAAAAAATCAAACAAGAAATACAAGAAAGGCCCTTTCTATTTTTTCCTTCAAAACTATAGGTGACACAGAAGCATCAGTTGCTGACACAGGTTCCCAAATCATAATTTGGAAAAGCAAAGATAGAGAATGCAAGCCTGGAAACAACACACAATAGCAAGCCCCAGCAGAGTCCCACACAGCTGATTTCAGCAAGAAACAAGCAGCTAGATTAGAACCTTAGATCACTGATCTTCAGTGTTAAAAATATAATACTAAAGTCATCTTCTGACCCTGAATTTGTTGAACAAGACTGTTCACTAGTTGAATCCTTTGACAATTAAAACAATTTCTACATTTTATGCCCGAAATTATGATGATTTTCAGAATGAAGTGTTTTAGGTTCAACCATGGTATACTTCAGGCTACTTGGAACTCAACTGAGTGGCACATTTTTCAAATTAATTGGTAACATAATCAGAGCTGTCTGTTCTTCTGCAATTTAGATGTGCATAGGTTAATGATTTCCTAAAATTGAATAGTTTGGCAATTTATGTGACAGAGGCAAAAAAAACTTTTAAAATTGTAGTTTTGGGGATAAATTAAATAATTCAGAATTAAAAGGTCTAGAAAGTTAATCTATTCTACACTGTGTGATCTTATTATATACACACACTTTACTGACTTTTATGTCACACTTGGATTCAAAAAGAGCAGGATTTAATTATAGTACACTAATCCTGTGGTACTTACAAAGTGTGGAGAGCACTCAAAGACCTAACAGGATCAGGTAGTATGAACATTCACTTTTATGTAATTACAAAACAGAACTTAGGTTTGGATACTAATCACTTAAGAATCTAAAAACTGAAAATGTTCATTAAACCTGAGATAGAAGATACGGTGGTTATCTGAACCAGCAAAATTCATACTCATAGCTTCAAGAAGAAAAAAACTGATTCCAAACAGAAACATTGTGATCCAGCACCACTTTTAAGAACGATCAGAAGTCCAATGGCTTTCATATCGAAACTATTCAAATCCTACCAGAGGACTGCTTAAACAGAACATTAACCGTAGCACCTATGCTATTATTTTTACGGTGAGCTGGCGACGTACACAAAATATCACTCCACGGGGGGGTGGGGGTAGGGGGGGGGAAAGAGGCATCCCAGACAGAAATCTTAACTGTGCAATATTTAGTATTTTTTCAACGACCAGGTTCACAGAAGCAGCGTTCAACATTTCATATTTAGGGATCCTACTCAAAAGGGTTTGATCATGGATTATAACATACAGTTGTAAAAGGGGAACGTTTTCCTAAGGGTTTAATCAAATCCTGCACAGTTACGAGTCGGCGGCGGGATCTGCGTGTGCGTGTCTCTTACTGCGCGCGCTTGTATCTTCCATTAGCCCCAATCATCCCTCCAAGGAGACTAGGCCGGGTGCCTCAGATTTAGAGCTAACGGGCCAAGCTGACAATTCCTTCCACCCCCCCCCCCCGCTGTACCACGGCTGCTCTCGCTGGAGCTCAGCCTGTTTGCCCCGCGCGGGGTCACAATGGCGGCCGAAACAGCCGCCTTTCCCGCTCCAAGCCTTACTCCTCCCCCTCCCCCTCGTTGCGCCATTTCGGATACGTCGTGTAGCTAAGCTGGGGAAGGGAAAGAACCGAGCCAGCTCGAGAACCGAGCCAGGCCCCTGCTCGTTGCTTCGTCTGCCGTGCCTAGCCATCTCCGGGGTCCGTTGCTTGCGAAGCCCGTTGCCCGCCGCTCTTCCCGCGCGACGCCGAGCATCGTTACCTCCATTTTGTGACTGGGTTTTGCCTCCTTCAGCCTCAATATGGAGTCGAGAGGAAGAGGGTGGGAGGAGCGGGTCAGAGGAAACTAGGGCACGTGAGGAAGGAAGGCGGGCTCGACGGCAAGGAAACCGGGGAAGAGGAGGGGCTGTTTCAAATTTATATTTTGGATACAAACTACTGAACAGTATAGTACTTCACAAGGTGGGCCGGCGGGAGGATGAGGTGGTCGTGTCATTAATTACCTGAGAAGGAAGAGGAGGAGGGGGAGGATTGCCGCGAATGAGTGCAACGGTAGAAGCTGGGAGAATTCCACTCACGCGCTTGGTGCGCGCGGCTGTCAGTCACCTTGTTGCGCCTCCCTTAGACCATCGAGACGAAGTGGATAGAAAGAACGGACCGCTTGGAAGGAGCGTTTTTGTGGTGGTGGGGGGGGGGGTTTGTGCGTGTGCTTCTTGCTCAGCTGGTGCTCGGGCTCAGACCAAAGCAAGCTGGGTTTGAAAGGCGAGAACGGCGTAGTCGTGTTCCTCCTTTAAGCGGCTTTAAGAGAAAGCGTATATAATATCTGCATTATATAGCTTTTCCCTGGTATATTGGAGTACAAACCTCACGTGATCTCACCCGCCCTAGTGGGTTCTCGGAGTACTGTAGCAGCGCAAGGGAGCGCCGGGTTGAAAAAGGAAGGGAGGGACTAAGCGGCTGCTTTGTCTTAAGAGCAGCGTGGTTGTTCACTTGGTTCTTTCTGGGCCGTGCTTTCGCCGTCTTAGCAAGAAGGTACCGGGCGAAAGACAAGCACCCTTTCTGAAAGTGATTTGCTCGATCACCAGTCTCCATCTTGGGCTCCGCCGCATGGAGCCGAGTTGCCTTTGGCTTTGCAGGGTGAAAGGCGCTTTGATGGCGCTTGTTGCTTTTTTCCCACACACGAGAAGCTGTTAACCGTGCAAATTGGTCGACCTCGCTGGCCGAATTCGAAATAAATGTTCAGGTCAGGTTAGTTTGATAGATACCCATCCTATGTTTTTTCCTGGCTTCCCCCATCTTTCCACAAAAGAGACCTTCAAGAGGAAATGGAGTCTCGCTCAACCTCTTTAACTGAAAACTCAGAGGCAACTTCAATTGGAATTTCATAGGTTAGATAAATAAATGTTTCTGCAAGCAGCACTCTTCGGCTGACCCTTTCGCTGTTGCTGGGCTGCCCGAGAAAGGGTGCCCTTCTCGGCTGCGCCTCCTTAAAGCTCAGGTGAAGGAGGCAACGTTGTCCCCAGCGGAAAGAAAAGCGCTCCTCCCCCCCCCCCGCTCCCTAGAAGAGCAAAATCTCTCGGGAACAACGGCTAAGGCCTTACCAGAAATCTTCAGAGGCGTAGGGCTGTTGATTGGGTTGCTCAGTTATTATGCACAGTTGCATATGCTCAGTGAAATTCAAACAGAAACGTTTATCTTGTTCAGTTGAAAAACGAAGAGAGATGATAATTTGGGTTAGGATTATAGTTTTGGTTTTCCTGATCTTCGCTTTAAGTATTTATATTAATACTAACCAAATCTTATAAACAAATTGTAAGTTTTTACAAATTTACAACACGATAAGTAAACACACATTTTAGTTGAAAATCTCAACAATTTCATATCTTGACCTCCACTTTTAATTAATGGGTTGCATTACTATTAGATTTCTCCTAAGATTTCTGGGAAGTAAAGAGGCAGATAATATATGCACAAATGATTTGCTAAGACATTAAATACATGCACTTAACTGTACACAAATATATAATAGGATTTATAGAAAACAATGCTCAAAATAATGTTAATAATGAGAATATGTTCTGAGTTGCAGTTTAATAACAGTTGTTGGAAGTAAAGTCTTCATCCTGGTTCATCCAAGCCGGGAATAAATAAGCAAACATGGAGATTGCTTTGGGAAGAAGGTTACAGTTTATTGCAGAAAGATGGTTCTTCAGGAAAGAGCAAAGGAGAGAAGGGGTGAGCACATGGGGTAATAGGCTTTTATACCCCCTCTAGCCTTGTTTGGAATAGTTTCCTGTTCCTGTGGCATGAACCTTGAGGCTGTTTCTGAATGTTTGTCTAGGCCTTGATATCTGGTTTAATTCTATTATCATATCCTGCTTCCCAGGTGATGGGGCTGACTCCTAGAGTTTGGGTGGGGTATGCAGATCTTCTCTTTTGTTTTCTTGATTGCTCTGGCTCCAACTTTCTGATGGTTTTACATCTGCATTTGTATGGGCCTAGCTCTTGCTTGGGGCAGAGAGATAGATTTGGGGCCAGGTTTGGTTTTAAAAAGTCCTTTTGAGGAAAAAATATATTTTTCTGCCCTTTTTAATATTTCTTTCTCTGGGCTAACTTCCATCACAGTTAAACCTACTTCAGGCATGGGAAAAAAGTTCTCTTTGAGATAGACCTGACTTCTGGTGATTTCATGAACATAATTTGAAATCAATACACAGGTGGTTTGTCATCACCTTGTTTCAAAATTATTTTTGACTTCCTGACCTAGTTGAACCTTTAGCCCAAGTATTTCTTGTTGATTTCCTATTCAAATACCAAATTTGGCCTTACTAAGCTTTTCAGGATCAGTTAAGATTGTCTTACATGCTTTCATTTAGCTGGGCAATCTGAGAACAAGCAAGGTTTTTTAAAATCAAATTAATTACATGGTGAAAAGTGAAGGTAATATATCTTTGCTTCACATTCATCCATATAATGTACCTATTTGTTTTATCCAGAAATCTCAGACTGAAAAAGTTTATTCTTGAAAATAAGGTTTATTAAAATGTGTGCTAGAAAATTAAAGCAGTATGATCTCCTGTGTTTATGTCTTTCTAAATTTTTCTTAAATGTATAACATCAAATTACTAATCTCAGGAATAAAACCTATGAGGGGTGTATGTGGAGATGTTTCCTAGTGATCCAAGATGGCCAACTGCTCAGGAGTTATTTTGCATAGCTTTCTCTTTCAGTTATAAAGAATCAATTTTTAATAATCCGTCTCTAGGACATGAAAAATATTTTTGATTAAATCTTAAGACAAAAATTCTAGAAAAGTCCAACTTCTCTAAAACTGTTACTTGACATTTTAATGCTGCCTTAAAAGAATGTAGTCAAAGAGCAGGTTTTAGTTTTTCAGAAATAGATTATCTTGCTTATTTTTCAGAAATAGGTGATCTTATTTGTAACTCCATGTGTGGTAACAATCCAGATTTTTAGTATTTCTTTACCAAAATTGTTTTTTTAATATCATACTAGATATTTTATTAGATAATCCAGGATAAACATTTAAATTTGTCAATTATATATTTAGGGATATCTGCTGTGTGCTTAGAACTATGGTGATTAGGTTTCTGTTTTTGTATCTTGGGTTTTATATCTCTGCAGTTCATTTACTAGAAGATGGATTCTGTCCCGTGCAATAATTACTGCTGCATGGATAATGTATCTGTGTTTGTATATTCTTTCTCAAGGATGACATCCCTATGAAAGAATGTATTGCAGGAGGCTTTAATAATGTATACAGAGCAACCTCTTCCTTTTTATTTACATCTTTATATATATATATATATATATATATATATATATATATATATAAAAATAAATGAATGAGGGAAGGTCAGAAGAGATTATTTCAATAATTTTACTTATCAGAGGGAGTACTTAAAATGGAAGGGAGATTGTTCATATTTTATTTAAGGATAACAAATTTCATTTGTATTTTAGCTTATGTTAGTGACTGCTGGTTTCACTTAAGTATGTTCCTTTGTAATCCCTTTAATTTCCATGAAGAGGTTTACAGTGGGAAAATAGATGTTATCATACTTACAAATAAGATGTAAACTTTTGATAATACCCGATTTTAAACATCAACATTTAGGAGATATGTATGTGTCCTTTCTGACTGTCTCCACTGATGAGCAGGATTTAAAAAAAAAAAAATCCATGACTGCAATGCAGGTCTGTATGGGGGGGGGAGCGAGGGGGGAGTGGCTCCGTGCAAAAGCCCTAGCTTGTGTTTCAACCAATAATAGTCCACTCTCTGCAGCTGGATTTGACTATAGGTTGTTGATCTGAATTTTTTGTTTCAAAGGCTTCTAAACACAGAAAAAAATATCTCTCACCTTTTTTCCTTTAAGACAAGTAATTTCCTCAGCATATTTATTAAACAATAAATAAGGAATCATGATAAAAGACAATTTAATTATTAGGATTTAGCAGAAGCAAATTAGACCTGAAATCATAACCTTTTAGTGGGACATTGTGATTTATGATAGGCAGTCCAGTGGGATGAATCAGGCAGCTTAAAAGACTGCTAGCTTATGGCCTGCTTAGTCAAAAGTCCATATATTCAGAGTTGCCAAACTGGGAAGAAAATGATCATGCTTGCAGAGAAAATACCAACTTAACAGCAGTCTCCATAGAATTTATAGATGACATGCATAACCTCAGGCTCTCACTCCCCATCCAGATTCCTCCACTTTTTTTTTTTTATCAAGGAATTGCCTTCCTTGATTCTCTCTTAACCATAAAAAAGGGGGCACTATTGACAAGATAATTGTAATAACTAATTGAGGAAAGAGGACTTGATATCAGAGAGTCATTGATAATGAGGAAAAGAGTAGCTTTTTTGTTCGGCCTCCCTTTGAAAAATTGACTTCCTGTGCAAGTCTTGTAGACTCTTGATGTCAGTGGATTGTTTTGAAGCTTAATTGCAGTGAAAAAGTGTTGGTGTGTATGTGCATGGTAGAAAGTAATAAAAAGTGTTGCTCCAAGAAAACATTTAAAAGATTTTTGTATGGTGACGTCCTGCCTGTTATTAGTACAAAATTTATCTCAAGCTTAGTTTTGATAGTCGTTCCAAAGGTGCATTAATGGCTGCATTAATTTTTGAGGAAGTATACCGTATTTTCCAGCGTATAAGATGACTTTCTAAACCATGAAAATCTTCTCAAAAGTCGGGGGTCGTCTTATACGCCCAGTCGTCTTATACGCCGGAAAATACGGTACTTTATTTGGGCTAGGATACTTTTTGAAGCATCTCCTTCGAATGTTTTGCATAACTGCCGAAAATGACCTCTGCTTGAAATCTGAGCTTTGCCGCCATTATACT